GGAATGAGCAGACTCCAGCTCTGAGAACCTCCATGTGCTTCAGTGGAGCCCCAAAAAAACAGGCACCTTCCAGCAACCAGACCTCCATGTGTTTCAGTGTATCCCTGGGGAAACATAGAAACACCCCACTGGCTTCAGCATACACCAGACACCACCACTAGGACCCTAGCTTAGCACCAGATATGCCGCCAGACCCCCTAAGGCCTCCAGCAGCACCAGCCACCCCCCACCCCATTCCCTCAGCACAGCACCAAACACAAGAGTTCCCCATGGCCTTTAAGGGAACATCAGTGCAGCACCAGGTAAACAGCCAGGGCCTGTAGCCCCTGGCACAAGGAGTCTGCAGTAGTGCCCCTTCCATCCCAGGAACAGAGCTCACATTTAAAAGAAAGGACAAAGGCCAAAAAAGTTGAGCAAAAAACAAACAAACAAAAAAGGATCTGACCACAGAAAGTTATGGTGACAAAGAAGACCAAGAAACAAACTTAGAGGAGGACAACAATGTCAAAAAACCTATGAACAAAACCCCAAAGAAAATGGGAAGTAGTCTCATAAGAGGTCATGTTCTTTTTGATCTTTCTCTGTTTGAAGTCATGCTTACTGCACTGTTTGTTCTGGGGAGAAAAAACAAACCAAAACAAGACAAATGTATTTATTGTTTGGAATCATCACTCCATTATTTATTCAGGACTTATTTGTTCCTTGTGCCATGTTAGAGCCCAAGAGGAGCGCAAAAGACACAGAAGGCATACAGCCTTTATTCAAGGAGCTTAGTGTAGGAGCTCACAAATTTAGGCTTGATAATAGGAAAAAAATTCTAACAATAGAGCCATAGAAAGAATAACAGATTGCTTTTGAAGGTAGTAAGTTCCCCTGATTGGTAATTTTCAAGCAAAGATAACCTCTTGTTGAGTACATTATAGACAGAATTCTAAGGCATGGATTAAAGTAGGTAGAGATAGTCATGAGGTTCTTCGCAGCTCTTGAAATTCTGATTCAGTGATTTGTGTTAAGTGATATATATCTAGTTAGGTGACGTAGATCAGTTGGTTAGATGTAATATACATACATACATACATATACATATGTGTGTTTATGTATACACACACACACACACACCATTCCCTTCTAGTCCCAGAACCAACTTTGATTTTTCCTCCAATATTTTCATCATAAGAAATAAATGATATATTTTTAATTAAATATAGATTGTGATATCTACATTCTGAATATGTTATGACAGTGATGACTTGTATTGGATAGGTGAGAAAAGATTAAAGGAAGAAATGCAGTTACTTGGAATCTAATAAGTTCATTCTGACATATGATCTGTGTTTTTGTCATCATCGGTGCTTCTATCTTAAGAGGTTTATGCACTCATCATCAAACCAGAATTTGGGTATCATCTCTCTTCATATGATGCTCTGTGCCTTGTGATGATTCCTCTGCTAAAGTAAAGAAGTTTGACCATCCAATCAGTGCTGCATAATGGATAGAGTGATGAGCTTTGGGTCAGAAAGACCTAGAGTCAAATTCTGCCTCTGGCACTTGCTATAGCTGGGTGGCCCTAAATAAGTCACTGAACTGCTCTGTTTTCTCATCTATAAAAATGGAGATAATAAGACCTATAGCATCTCCATCAGAGGGTTGTTGTCAAGATTGAATTGAGATCATGTATCAGAGCTCTTTGCAAACCATTAAGTACTACTACATAAATGTCAAACTGGTATTATTTAGTGAGCTTTGTAGTACTAGACATTGTAGAAATGCATCCAGGCATTGCATAGCAACAGTTTTCTGGATTTAAGTAATGGTTTGTTCTCCTGTATGGATTATTTTAGATGATTTTGAGTTCTAAATTTAATCATTTTCATTTTCTCTTAAATACATCATCCCTCAAAATAAAATTTTGATAAATGCAGACACCCCTGACTTGACTTCCTTGTTAAATCTTCTGTAGTGGGAAACCCACATTCCTAGGTGCAGGATTCTGGGATGTCACAGGTAAACCTAAACACTGACATCCAAAGAATTTCCCTCTCATCTTGAGATGAATGATGCTTTTCTCTAGTTCTGAAAAAATATGACCGGAAAATAGAGGCAGCAAGTGAGACTAATTGGAGATCAGTTGGAGTAATTGGGGAATTTCAAATCTTTTCATCTTTTTGTCATGGATGGGCAAAACTGCTCACCAGGTCAGCTTAAAGAAAGAAATTGATAAAAATCACTTTGAGAGGAAGCATCTTACAAACAATGAAGTCAATTAAAACAAACAAATCTACACTGTTTCTCACTTTCATTTCCCATAGACACAATTAGCCAAAATTAGTTACCTAGGTATGGTCCAGTTGCTGTGTGCATAGTTCTGGCTGTCCATGGTCTTCACATGACCAGGCAAACCACACCATCTGTGGCTAAATACAACCCACAGGAGGGACACCGCTTGGGAGAAGAAAATCAATGTCTCACTTTGGGGATATCCATTTCCCTCTCCCACAAGGGGGCCATTTAAACATTGAGCATCTTTACTAAATTTGTTCCCATGGTGCTTATAAAACACTGTTCCATGCCCTTAGTACAATATGATGGGAATGATAAATGTATAATAGTGAGAGAATGTGCCCTAGGAAATATATGAGGTCCATTGTATGGCAGAACTTATCTCAGGTTCTCTTTAAAGACCACAACAGGGGAAAGCCCCAAAGAATCTTTTCCTCTAGAACCCTGGATCCTTAGTTTTCCTCCCTTGCCTTCCTCACCCCCCTACACTCCAAGAGTTGGCACTTGTTTGGGCTTAAACAGAATGGTCACATTGGAATTTATTGACTCACATTTGGGGCACATTTTGTACTTTGCAAGCCATTTTGATATGTATTTTCTCATCTGAGCTTCTCAACAATACCATTAGCTACCTACAGCCAAGAGAGAGACACAGAAAAAGCCTTTAAGTATCCATTGTGCTGTCTTAGAATCACAGACAGTAGAACTAGAAGAGACCAATCAATAACATTTATTAAGCACTTACTGTGTGCCAGGCATTGTACTAAGCTCTGTGGATTCAAGAGGCAAAAGACAATCTTTGCCCTCAAGGAGCTTACAGTCTAATGGGGAAGACAACGTGCAGGCAGATATATGCAAGGCAGGCTATATGCGGTTAAATAGGAAACAAGGAACAGAAAGAGGGCACCAGAATTTAGAGGGATTGGAGAAGGCTGCCAGTAAAAGAAGGGATTTTAGTTGGGCATTAAAGGAAGCTCGGAAGGTCAGTAGGCAGATAGGAAGAGGGAGAGCATTCCAGGCATGGGGGAAACCACAGAAAATGTCTGGAGCTGAGAGGTGAAGTGTCTTGTCGGAGGAACAATGAGGAGGCCAGTGTCACTAGATCAAAGAGTACCTGTGAGGGAGTAGGTGTAAGAAAATTGGAAAGGTAGGAGAGGGATAGGTAATGAAGGGCTTTGAATGCCATACCAAGCATTTTGTATTTGATCTTGGAAACAATAGGGAGCCTTTGGAGTTATTGAGTGGGAGAGGTGACATGGTGAAACCTACGCTTTAGGAAAATCACTTTGGTGGCTAAATGGAGAATGCATTTGAATGGGGAGAGACTCAAGGCAGGCAGACCCACCAGTAGGCCACTGCAATGGTCCAGCTTTTTCATTTTATAAATGAGGAAACTGAGGCCATGAAAGGGGATATAATAATAATTATAATAATAATAATACTAGCCAACATTTATATAACACTTACTATGTGCCGGGTACTGTGCTAATGTTTTACAATGATTATCTCATTTGATCCTCACAACAACCTTGGGAGGTAGGTGCTTTTATTGTCTTCATTTCATAGTTGAGGAAACTGAGGCAAACAGGTTAAATGACTCACTGAGAGGCATACAACTAGTAAGTGTCTTAGAATGGACCTACACATGTATGTGTATATATGTATGTATAACATGTATATTGTATATATGTGTATGTACACACACGTGTTTGTACATATATACATGTGTATATGTGCATATACATAAAGTAATTATTTATTTATAATTAATAATAATCCACTGCACCACCTATTTGCCACATGATTTGTCTGAGGTGATGTAGTTAGTAGACAGAACCAGCACTAGAATCTAGATTCCCTTTCTTTGACCCATCTTAAAAAAAAAAGGGAGAAAAATCAGAGCATCAGAGAGGATTAGCAACTTGGCCAAATCCGTATTACTGGTTCATGGGAAAACTAGGGTCAAAGTCCAGCTTTAGTGCTCCAGCATCTCACTTTTTTTAACAGATGACTCTGAAGTTGAGAGAAGTCACACTGTTTCTGGGACCTCCAGGCTGCCCAGCCAGTTAGCACGGGAGGAGAGGCTAGTATCTGGATCTATAGATTCCCTGTGAAGGGGGTCCCTTCCATGTTGTTCCCTTAGTGAGAATTGTCTGCCCAGTGTCCAAAGCCACATTCTGTAGAAGCAAAGAACTAGAAATAAAGTCATTTCCCATCAGTTTGGGAATAACTAAGAGGAAAACAAACTGCTATTTGAATGTGATAAAACTTTAAAATTGTTCAGTAACAAAGGACAGATGGAGGAAATTCAGAGAAACATGGGAAGATTTGTATGAACTGAGATGGATTCAAAAGAACCATGTTTGCATTAACTGTAGCAGCACAAATTAAAAAAATATATATTTCTCAAAGGAAGCCTAGGTCTAAGTAATTGAAAAGTTAATAATGATCTTAAAAAATAGATGAGACATACCTTCCTTCCCATGACAGTTTACTAGTAGGACAGAATACAGATTGCTGTACACACTGTCAGACTAGACTACTCACTGTGTTGGGTGGTTTGCCTTGATTACTTCTCTTTGTTACAAGGGAGGATTCAATCTAGGGAATGTGTGGGAAAGAGAAATGAGGAATTTCCAGAAATAACCATGATGTAAAAGCAAAACAACATAAAAAATAATACTTATTTTAAAAATAATTATTCCATTCATTTTTTTCAGGCTGGTAGAATTATCCTACGTTGGCCCCATCAGTTATCACTGGGGAGTCTTGTCCAAGTGTTTGGCTTACAGCAAAGCGGCATCAGACCCCTTCGTGTACTCTTTATTAAGGCATCAGTACAAGAAGTGCTGGAAGGACATACTGAACAGGATTCTCAAAAGAGGTTCCATCAATTCCTCAGGCCTCACAGGGGACTCACACAGTCAAAACATTTTGCAAATCACAGAATGAAGGAAGATGCTCCAGTCACCAGAGTAGAAAGTGGAAGCATGGATGGGGGCCAGAAGGGAAGACCTCCTAGATACTGAACAAAAATCCATCATCAGCTCACCACCATGCAATCAACCTGTGGCTTGTCTGCTTTCCTGAGTGGACTGTTGTCTCAGTGCTGCTTGTGAAAGCCGGGGCAGAGTGACACTGGAAAGGCTTTCTGTCCTTCTTCCTGAGAATATGATTTAGCTTCTAGACGCCCTAAAAGCAGCAGAGCAGTTGGACCAAAGTGTAAAGTCCCCCCAGGTGGCCCCAGAGTACAGGCGCTGAAAGAAGGTGGTCGTTTATTTTTATGACTGGACTTTATCTCCTCAGTTCATTCACTAGCCGGTGGGGATTGTGCTCAGTGTTGTACTCTTAAAAAATAATAATCATCGTGATTCCCAATAGGACAGATCAGACTTGCAGAAAGGGAGATTATAGGAATAACAGCTTGATTGAAAGTGCATCATTGATTCAGGTCTACTGTCATCCCTATTTATTTGTAGCTGCTATGATCAGCATAAATAATGCTTGATACTTAGGTTCCATCTACACTCATGCAAAATGGTTTGGGAAAACTTTTGAATTGTATCATATGATTAGTTGTGAACCTTGTTTTCTAAATAATCAGTTGTAATACTAAGTTTAATTTCATCCCTGACTCCCTCATTTCCTGTGTGTATACAACCACCTAGGACTGGTTTATTTGGGTAGACAGCACCTTAGTGTAACAATAACTCAAGTTGATATATGACACCTTAATTTAGTCCCATTTGAAAGGGCTGATTCTAAAGCTGTTTTCTTCTGACTTCCTTGCAGTAGCCAATTTGACTCTAATTTGAGTTGAGTCAAATTGGGGAACCATTACTTATCAGTACTTCCTCCATTTACAATGATCCTAAGTTTTCAGGAAACATGCCAACCTCATTCTACCCAGTGACACATCTCATTTGGTACTTTAAAAGAGGCAGATGGGAGAGAACTGGTTTCACTTTTTTAATCTTAACTCTAAACAATTGTCTCCAACTTTGAAAACAAGGATTGTTAAGATATATTGAGCTGTTTGCCAGCTACCCAGAATTAAGCATATGCCAAGAATAAGACCACAATTGAAATTGTCCATGGAAACAAACCTTCCATCACTCCCCTCAGTCTTTCAGTCACCAGTAGCACTGTCTTCACAAAAAAAAGCAGAAATCAGTAAGATAGTGAATTTGATTGGTGTAAGCCAAATTCAACACAAATATTTTTCAATCACACTTAATAATTGTCATCTCTGATCTTTTATACTTGGACTTTGTAGATAGCATCATAATATTAGACCCCAGGTAGCAATGAATTTACTTATATTTCTCGAGCCATGGAATAAGGTATGAAACTTGTAATGACACCCCTCCTGGGAAGGACTGACATCCTTAATTGGATGAATTTCTTTTACAATGAATTGTGGGTGCATTTTGTGTGATATAGCTAAAAACAGAAGAAAAAAAATTGACCCAAATACCTGATTTTTAAAATAAATGAAAATTAATTAAAAAACCCTTCATGTTAACATAGCACTTCATGGTTTCCAAAGTGTTTTCCTAATAATAACTCTTAAGTAATTGTATCCGCATTTAAAAAATGACAAAGTTGAGTCTCACAGAGATTAAGTGACTTGCTGATGGTCAGATAGATTAGTTACTAGAGTAAATGTTAGAACTGGGATTAAAATCCAGGTCTCTTGATTCCAAGTCTACAACTCTTTTTATTATACAGTGTTGGACTGGGTACTCTTGTAAACATAGTCTTTAAAGCCTAAGGAGAATTGGAAAGGAGAATAATGGTGGATATGGTTAAACATAGAGAGATGAGCATATACACATTTATGTGTATTGCATGTATTTGCGTACATTGGATATATGTACATATATATATACAAACACATATGTATATAGATGTTTGTATATAATATGTATGTGTATACATATACAAAGAGAGAGGGGAGAGAGAGAGAGAGAGAGAGAGAGAGAGAGAGAGAGAGAGAGAGAGAAAGAGAGAGAGAGAGAGAAAGAGAGAGAAGCTGTATGATAGAGAGCAGGGGCTTGGACTGAGGAAGCTTCAAGGGACTTCTCTGACCTACGTTGGTTCTGTGATTGTGCTCAAGCCTCTCTAAGAGGAGCAGTTGCTGATGTGCATTGGTAGGAGTTTCACCATTGGGAGTTCCCTATACCAATTAATCAAAGGTCTTGTCCAATGTAGATACATATTTCTACACACGCGCACACACACACACACACACACACACACAGACCTAGTGTGCAAATTTTGACCCCAACCTCAATATTCCTAGATGAATTATCTACCTCATTTCAGCAAAATTAATTTATTAAATTTAACACCATTTTTCAGGTAGGACAAGAAGAAACAGCCTACCCAGTATTACCATCCAGAGCTTTGCTAGTTGAATTGTACCATATCATGAAATGTACAATCCTTACTTGTTAGACACTGAGAGGTGGTAAATTAAGATGAAAAGATTTTAAATAAGAAAAAGATAAGCAATCAAATTTGGAAGCCTGTATCTCATCCTCTGTGGTTATTCTTATTTGATCAGGTTTCATTCAAGCCCATGTGATTTGTTAGCTATGCTGCAACCTCAATAGTTTATAGGATTTTCCTTCCTTGATGTCAGTGAGATCTGGGTACACTAAAATTCAACTCATTACCTCCCACACTGGGTAAGTTAGTGGTGCATTTTACTCCTATTTTTAAAATGCCCATCTGACTTCCCAAAGGCTTCTCACTGAGAATCTTGGCTGTCTTTTACAATCAAAAATGGAGCAGAACAAAAAAAGATCACTGAGTCATCTCATACCAATAGTTTATCCTCTTCAGTCTTCATTGGAGCTGGGCACCACCATAAGCAATAAAGTTTTCTCCTTGTTTCCATAACAATTTGTTTTTCTGTAATGATACCTTTCCTTCAGAAGGAAGATGGGAAGGGCATAGCTAATTCAATTTCCTTTATCAATTCATTTAATTTTTTTGTGCATAGGTTTTTACATGCTTCTTTGAAATATGTTATAGAAGTGAATGAATTGGACCTTTTCTCTTACTGGAAGCAACCTATGTATGGGATAAAATCATCACCTGTGATTGTGATTATGACATTTTTATTAGATATTACTAGACATCCCTTGGATAAATTCAAGTGAGTTGTGAAAGGATGTTTTTCAATGTACTCTCATGCCCTACCCCTAACTTTTAAGTGGTGCCAAATATTATTTCAAAAACAGAGGCAGTATGCCTTAGGTAGCATTTAAAAAATAGATATTGGCAGAGTTTCATTTCTCCCCAGAGTTCTTGAATGCTGCATATTCTAACCTTGTCTAAGAATCTATTATGGTAATTGTCTTTTGGTGGGTTGAAATGGAACACTCCATTAAAATACTAAAAATGTACTTTTAGAGAGACCATTCAATTTAATAGTAGAACGTGTTCATCCTAAAAGATCAAAAGTGTTTTGTGAAGAAATGAAGCCTCTCATCGTGGATTTCCTAAGTCATAATAGTTCAATGTTCAGTAAGGGTTTGGTAGGTAAATTGGTTGTAAGGGATACAGAGATGCGATTAAACTGTATAACAAAATGAAATAAGATTTAACAAACCTTGTTTAGTCCCCCTACATCTGACCCAGAACCAAAATCTACGTAGGTATTTTGACCTTAAAAACAAGATTGAAAACTGGCACAAATACAAACAATCAAGAATTTGCTAGACCCATTCTACAGACTATATCACTGAGTCCTGACCATTGAGTTGTTTATCTGAGCCTTTAGGTACCTTTATCCAGCTACTTAGCCCCAGAATATAATGGCTCAGGGACCAGAATAAAATGTAGCTTATGAGATATGATTTCTGGGATGCCATAAAGAGATCCCTCTTCTACTACCCCTAACTAATTTTTAATCACTGATTCATGCCTGGTGATAAGGGGGAGGAGGTAATGCCAGTATGTTGCTTTCCTGCCAGCCTCCCATTCAAAATGACAATCTAGAGATCATGCCACTAGTTATTTTCACCAAAAAAAAACCCACAGTGTCACTCTTCTTTACCTGCTATCTTGACAATCCCCAAATACACCATTTCATTGACTATTGCACAGATTTTTGAGAACATGCCCCAAAACACTGGTTTGATGATGGTGTAAATGATTTAAACACATCATTTAGAATAGGCAATATCTATCTGAATTTATTTAGTCCGTGGACACATAGAAAACAAAGTTCATTACTACTCATAACTTCTCTAGAGTGAAATCCATCACATATTCCAGAGAATCACCATTACCTAATTCCCAAGGGTTCCAATGTTTGATTTCCCAGGACACCTATTTTAGTTCAAGGGCAGTTCTTTTGGATTGCTGAAATGTACTCAAAAACATAAAGAAGTTGATGAGGTAGGCGATCTATAAGGGGCAAGGTTAGGGAAACAAAAATGGTACCCTATGTAACTGCTAGGAAAATGAAACATCAATGTACCCAAGATTAGAATATTAGAACATGGTTAAGTTTCTCTTTCTCTCTCTCCATATACATTATATGCATATTGGAGGGGAGGAGGCATGGATGGACTTTAGACACAGAAAGAGGAAAAATCAATTGAGAAGCATTTGATCAGTAGTACATAGACTGCCAACATGCCAACTTCTAAAAACTGACATCTGTATTTTTCTGCAAGGGAAAATGAACCTTATCTTCATTGCACACTGAATTTACTTAGAGGGTCACTAAAAACACGCCTAGGTATCCTTCCTAGAACAAATGAAAATTCATGTGACAAGAACAATTTTTTCTTTCTTGCTTTTAAAAAGTGGTGTCATCATCCCACTTAAGTAAACCTATAAGCCTTTCCATCTTTCAATCATTGGCCAATTAATCATGCTCTCATTATAATGTGTCATGTAAATAAATGTGTATTTAAGATTTAAAGCTTGAA